GAGGTCTCGCGGGCAGGCTTCGGACCATTTAGCGCTTTGCTCATCAAAAGAGGTGCCTTGAACCCCACGCGGGAGCTGTCAGGTGGCTGCGAAGACCCCGAGCCAAGGGTACCCCGAGATGGGGACTGCGGGCTGAGCTGGGAAAGGGACTGGAAATTCAGGGGAAAAGTTAGTAAAAGCATCTTAAAATTATAAAAGTGTGTGGCTTCTAAAACTGTACAAGGGTTCCCTGCAGAGAGGATGGTGGCTTCCCTGTGATGACTCCCAGTTTCTGACACTCACAACTGTGCAAGTATGTTCTGTTACTGGGTTACGCAGAAATTAGATCTCAGACATTAAACAGCTGCAGGGAAGAGGCCCAAAAGTTACCTATCTAAAAATATTAATTCCCTTTCCCGTCACAAAGCAAACAAGACTTACATTTGAAATAACAAAACTCATTATAGCGGCTTAATATATTATAATAACGTGAAGGTATTCAAATATGAAACCAAAGGTTTCATAACCCTCCTCAGGGCTGGCACTGATGCATGATCTTCTTTGGCTGCGTAGGCATCATCTCTGGAATAAAAAGGAGATCGCTCTGCCCTTTATAACTAGTGGTACAGAGCAATAAGGTGCAGAAATGTGCAGGGTGGCCGCACACAGCTTAAAACGCCTTTCCAGCCTGAGAAGTAACTCGGTAGAACCCAGACAAGCAATAAATGCTGTGTTTAGTCAATAAGCTAAGCAGAGCGGCACACGGCAGTAATTAATTTAAAAGTAAAAGCAGCTGATTCCTACAACTGCAAATGGAAATCCGCAGAACTGCCCAGTTTATGCTAACTCATGCTGACTCCTTGGTCTGTTAGCTATGTGGCTTGTGGATGTGCATACCTATCCTGTTCCATTTACTCCACCTTCAGTTCTGGCCCCCAGTGCCAGGCACTTCCTAGCAGGGACGTGGAGGGAAGGTGATGCCCCATCTCCGCTGCTGCTGGCAGGGGCATGGGGATGGGGCATAGGGATGGCAGAAATCCCAACACCCATTGCTGTCCAGACAAAAAGATGGGTCAAACCTCAGAGATACCATAGTTCAAACTGCAGTTATGAGCCAGAAGGATGGAGGTGGCTTGGGAAGATCCAGTGGGAATAAGCCGCAGGTGGAAGTGGAGCTGTTGCTCGGGTACCCCGAGGTCCCTGGGAGAGGGGACGGGGGGTGCAAACCCCACAGGGCAGCGGGAAGGACTGGTGGCCGTGGCTGCAGGTCGTTCCCTCCCTGCTGGGAAGGAGCATCCCGGGGCCAGCATCTGACCCGGGGCTGGGGCAGTCACCGGGGCGTGTTGCGAGGGACAGACACCGGCAGTTTTAGCAGAACACCCATGCCCAGAGGCGCGTGCGTCAGTTGAAAGGACAAAGCTGTGACTTCCCCGAGCCTGAAGACAAGGTGACCGTTCTCACTGCAGCGTGCGCCCCAAAGCAGGCGCTTCAGTCCCACCCTTCCACGTTCCTTGCAAAACCGCCGGTACCCGTGGGATGCTCGGTATCCTCTCCCCATCGGTGGGCTGCGCAGAGCGGACCAAAGTCCCACGCGGTGACTCTGCTGAGGGCACGAACTGCACAGGGGAGAGAAGCCCCCCGCGCGTGGAGCCGCGTGGAGCGATCGAACGGGAGCGTGTAACGGTCCACAGTACGCAGAAGTGCAATTAATGACAGTCTTGAGATGTTTTTAGGCAGAATGCTAAAAGATTGCGTTCATTCCTACGCTATAGGATTATATCTTTCAATATAACAACCAAAAATTGTGTACTTAATCCAGAACTCTGCTCTTTATGCGAAATGCAAGGAATTAAGCGTAATCAGCTGTAGCTGGTACTTTAACAGGGCGGTTACCCTTCTCCTCTCGCTGTTCGATCCGGCGAGGTTTGGCCACCTTCCCTCCCCCAGTGCAGCAGCGATTTCTGACCTGGCTGGGGAAGCAGCCTGGGGACACCTGCCCAGTTCCCGTGAAATCCGGGGTGGGAAGCCCAAAGCCAGGGAGACGGAGCGGGGCGAGAGGAGCCCTGGTTTGGCTCTGCCCTGCGCCTCGTTGCCTGGTTTCTGCTGAGGTCGCTGGCTCGGGATGCGGTGGTGCTGGAGCACATCTTCCCTAATGGCAAGTCTCGTTTGTAGCTACAGAGGCCTTTGAAATAAACTGTGATCACAATCCTAAGTAGTTGCATTTCTGGCTGCCTAATCCTCATCTGCCATCAGCTGGAGGTGTGTGAGGGCAGAAGAAATCTCCAGAGTCTGAAGAAACACCCTCGGAAAGACTTAACATCACACTTTTCTTCCCCAAATAGTGTATCTAAATTTTTAGTGAAGTTTGCCCAATTTAAAATCTAAGCTCTCCATCTGAGAGTTTACATCCTGCCCTATGACCAGGCAGGCAGGGCCGTGGGTACCAGCCTTTATTTTCTTTAGACTGAAGGAGACACAGGCAGAAACTTTTCCTCTCGACACCTCGCAGCTCCAGCCCATGGCCTCCCCGATCTGCCGCGATGATAATTTTGCTACATCGGCAGCTTGCAAACAGCTCACTGTGCTACCAGTTATGTCTGTAACAAAGGAAAAAAGAAAAGAAATTAAAAAAAGAGAATTATTGCTTTATGGTACATGAGTTATAGACATTTTCTTTTTGCTTTCTAGACTGATCAATGGTCAACAAGGAATCACTATTAAAAATTATAGTACAAGATCACTTCTTACTGTTACCAATGTGACAGAAGAGCATTTTGGCAACTATACATGTGTCGCTGCCAACAAGCTAGGGACGACCAATGCCAGCCTGCCTCTCAACCGTAAGTAACGTGGACATGGGGCAAATGTTCATGGTTGTTTGCTTCCACATAGGAGGATCCAAAAGACAAAAAAAAAAAGTAGTTTTCTGTTTTTCCATGGTTTCTTCTCAAGGCGTGTAAATACCATTGCGTTCCTCAGTACCGAGAAATAACGCACCTGGTTATTCGTTCCGCGCTGCAGAGGGGTTTCTGTTCCGAGAGCGATGACGCTTTTTGGGGGTGTCAACCAGTTATGAATCTACCAAACACCCCACAGCTACACTTAACCTGCCGTCGCGGTGTAGAGACAGAATTAAGGTGAGAAAGCCTTCCTGCTCAGAACCGCAGTGACCGCTCGCTCGGCCCCACTGCGAGTGCAGTCACAGACCCCTCCGGCGGGCTCCAGCGCCGCTCGCCGGCCTCTGCGGCGGGGCAGCCGCGGGGACGGGCAGGGAAAGCTTCTGGAAAGGGCAGTAAGTGTTGTACCGGGCAAAGCAAAGCACTGAGAGCTTTAGCACGATGGTTACCTAGAACGGGTCTCAAAGGTCCTGCTTGAAACATATTTTTGTCTGTGGGTTGGTAGCATTTCCTGTGGGTTGAGTACCTAGCCATCTGCTAGGGGCATCCGAAGAGGTCTGCAGTTGAACTTTGGTGTGAATCTGTTCTAATGCTGGTAAAACTGAAAGACAAAGCTTAGAATATGTCCTACACGCTTTTCTCTACATAAAGGTATCCTTCATTGAGTGGAAATGCAGTTTTTCTGTTGCTGAAATCCTAGAGTTATTGCATTCTAGCCATGAGACTTCCTTCTGAGTGTGCTTCCTATGCGATAGGCATTGTCAGGATATTCTGCATTACTGCAGAAAAGATGCAGTAAGCAGAAAATAGCCTGAAGCCTTTGCTGCCATTTTAGTCAATATTTGAGAAATCGTTTACAAAGTGGAAACAAAGTTGCACTTATTTCAAACAGAAAGTGCAAGAAGTGAAAGCCAAGGAGCATCATGGCAGGAGCGGATAGGGTTTGGTGTATTTGCAGTTCAGCGAAGGTAGAATGAAGGTTGGGTTTAATTTTGCACAGAGCAGAGCTGAGCCTGTCTCTTAGCTGCTGCAGGATTTTATCGGTTTTCGGTTGCTGAGGCACCATGTAGCCACCCTTGAAAAGCGCTTTGAGATGCAGAGGTTGAAAGTGTCATCTAAGTACCAAGTACATCGTCACGAATCACAAAAAGAGACGTCCTCCATCATGAGAGAGAGGGGATGTGCGAAGCAGAACAGTCCGAGAGAAAATTCTGAAATCTGGGTCTGATCCTGACCTCACAGAATGAAATATGGGGGGGGTGTTAGCCCAGAGGTCTGACAGAAAGACCGAGATGAAGCGTCTTATGTTACACAATGGTTTTTTTAAATCTAGTCAAAACAAGGAGAGGTTTCCAGAAGCTGATGACCTAGATTTCAGTTGGGAATTAAGATCATTTGGTGGAGTTTTTTCCTCACTCATAGTTTGCACGAATGTTACCTAGAAAGAGTACCACTCTTAAAAAAAAATAATAATCACAGTGTAGCAGCTTATTAAGTATGGACTCCTTAATGCTGCAGAGAGATTCTTCTCTTGTGAAAAGCTGCTTGCATTTGATTTTGTTGGCAATGGTTGCTGAACATATGCGCTGGTTCAGGTATGTGTGGGGGAAGTGTTAGCAGTTAATGGTTGGTTGCGACATCTGATCGTCAAATATAGAGTTGAGTGTAACGTGATCATCGTGTTACTTGACAAATGTTAAAAATTAGATGTTGATGTCTTCTTCCAACGTATACTTTCAACTGTTAATTGCATTAGTGCAATACAGTCTGAGAGGCAGCGCGTTTGGAACAGCTTCCTTAGCAAGACACATGGGTCGGCGTCGAAACGCTGCCGCGGCGCGCAGCACCGGCGGGGGGGCGGAGGGTCCTGGGGGCCAGCACACCGCCGCTCTTGGGCGTTGGCACCATGCCCGATGTTGTGATATAGCAATGGTCATTGCTAATTGGCTGTTCCTGTCTGCTGTTGGGGCTTTTTTTTAGAGAAAGATGTTTAGAGCAGGGTTAGAAAATCTCTATTTTCTTTCTTTGCATGTCCCCATGTAATAAATAAATGATGTCGTAACTGCGCACAGCTGGGAGCCTTTCTTGGGGACAGAGCTAAGCATATTCTCCGTTGTTGGTGTCTGCATCCTATGCAGATATAAAACTCAAGGATATCAGAAAAAGGATTATTACTTCTGCTACCAAGAGAGCTCCGGCTTTCAGTGATCCATAAATGCAACATTGAGCTGATAGCAAGTGGTGAAGCGGGTAAAGGGATGTCAGGACAAGGTAAAAGCTGACGTTGGGTGGCTGCAGAGGTGGACCGAGCAAAGGAGACGGTAGGTTAATGGAGGCAGTGCCCATGGGGAGGGGGGGGCAGGAGGAGAACAACCCCACCGCTGCCGTGAGCCAGGGACGGCCAGCAGAAGGTTGCCCAGAGCCGCTTCTGCCCCAGGGACAGACGGACAGGTCAGTGCACGGAAGAACCTCGTGTCTGGGGAGTTACAAACATCCCAGACCCCGCGAATGTAACAAAATTTATCATGTCCCTAACTGAAGACTTGTTGGCAGTGTCTAAGATACAGCTATTAATAATAAATTCAGCAGCTGTAAAATAGAAAGACGGAGCCTTGCGGGAAAAATACAGAGAAGCAGTGGTTCCAATAAATTAATAATGAATGGCAATTTGCTAATTATGCATGGCTAAGTCCTCCGTCTCATCCAAATGTGTTGTTTTTTGTGGGTAAGCCTATGGAGGACATGATCCTCCCCGCGCGCCCGCGTGAGGAGCGCTCGTTGGACAGTCCCATCCTGCCATCTATGGGCCTGATTGATCAGATGTTTAGCGCTGCCTGCGCTGGCTCTTCCCAGAATTTCTGCTGCTTAAGACGAAGAAGAATGTAGTCCTTTCCTGTAAACAAAGCATGGATTTGCTGATTCGCGAAACCCAGGAGTCAAGGTGTCATGGTGTGTGCCTAGGGTAAGAGGTTCCAGTGAGGGGCCAATGGGGAATGCAGTAGCCTCTTTTTAATTGAGCAGATTTTGCTTTTAAACTAGCACAACCTTAATTCAAGACAAAAGGCGCTATCCTACCAATAAATTTGCAAAGCCATTGGGAATGGAGGGAGTTGTCATTAACCACTGGCATCGAGGTAGCTTTATTCAGCTGTTTTTCTCAAGCAGCCAAAGCTGAGATGGTCTCCATTGCTGCTAAAGCAGCGGCGTCCTTACCGAGATGTCTCCTGGCCTTGTGCTCTCCTGGTCAGGAGCCACGGTCGGTAGTGGATTTCTTACTTTCTTTTACCAAAGCTGAGTCTTGGCAGGAGGTTTTTCCTACCTTTTCTTGATGAGGATAAAGGTGGAACTGTTGCTCGGCCCCTGCTCCCCACAGCGGGACGTGAGCTGAGATGTTGCCACCGCAAGACCTCGGTGAGCTGCTGGACGTCCTGGGCCAGGCATGGGGGGCTCAGCGCTGCTCGTGCCACCCGAGATCCAGGCTCTGTCAGTCAGGTTGTAGGGAGCATCGGTTTAGCACCCTAGCTTGGTCAGGGGTGCAGTGCCAAGCCCAGCAAGAACAACTGCCCTCATCTCCGCTGCCTGAGCACTTGTTAAAGTAGGGCAGGAAACTGGGTGGTTGTTGAAATCCTGCATTGTTAATCTGCGTGTAGATTTACTCTATACATGTATAGAAACTACAAATCTACTCAAAAGACTCTCCATGGAAGCATTAAATTCACTGCTGCTTGTGTGGTCTCTGTGTGCGCCCTGAAGCTCTGTCCTCCGCACAAGCGTGGATTCACGGAGGGCACCGTTTTGCAGAAGATGAAAATGATCATTGCTTCTCTAGACCATACATGTGTGTGTTTATTCTTAAGTAAAGGCAATATTTTTATTTTCTAAAGAGCACCTCCTATACATTCCCTAGTACTTTTAGGAATGCTGTAAATAACTTGCCTAGTGGTACCTTTCTTAGGAAAACCTGCGATACAGAGGAAGCATCCATGTCTGTTACTAACAGCTGCCAAAGAAATTACTTCTTCTAAATGGCTGGTTACATGATTCAGCCACCGGTGTTACTGATGTTCAGTAACAGTTCAGAAATCTTAGATATATTGTCAGTAATTATTCAAAAATGTAATAAAAAAATAAAAAAAAACCCAAACAAATAATCGTGAGGAGCTGCAGAAAAGGTCGGTAGTGACGTTCGGAAGGAGAAGGAGCATAGCAAGGTGTGTGAGAGATGTGGTAGTATTTTCTGTGCTAATTTAATTGCTGCAGCTAAACAGAACTACTTTATTGAATAAGCATCCAACTGTGAACTTACGGTTAGTGCAACACGCTTATAATTTTGTCTCAAACATTTCTACATGCCAGGAAGCACCAGACCGTGCCCTCAATTTATGTGGGTTGATTGCATTGTGTCCTGGTTCCTACATAAAGATTCCTAATTAAACTCCTGTATTAATATTCTTAATATATTGGGCTTCATGTCTCAAATGCAAAAAAAATTATAATTCTCCCAAAAATTTAAATTCACTCATTGTAAATGGCACAGAACTTGTAATAATATGCGTGTTCCTCAGTGGCACTGTGTAGCACTGGTGTAGCGTTGGCTACATCTACCGGAACGTCACAGACCCGGAGGTATCGAGGGCATCTGCAGAGTGGTGCCATGGCCTTGCGATGACACATCTTCTAAATAAGGGGACAGGCAACCATTTTCCATGGTCATTTCTGAGCAGTGCCTCCTGCTGTGCCAAGTCACGAAAACCAAAGAAAACTAGGTTTAAATGGGACTTTGGAGATCACCTCGGTCATCGGACCGAGGGCACACTCCTGATGCTGCTCATCATTCCTGGCGGTTGTTGGACTTGCTCCTGTCGATCCGTAGTAACCCTCCACCATTGCAGTCATCTTCTAGACATGCTTCTTTCCTACATTAGTAACTTCTTCACATGTAA